TTTCTAGTCAATGTGAAACTTGTAAGACGAGGGTTTCTCTACTTATATATTCTTTAATTTCTTTATTTTTTTAATTATCTTATTTTTTAATTAATTATTTTATCTATAGTCGATGTGAAATTTGAGTTTTTATCAATAATAAACATTTTTAAATAAATTAATAAATGATATCATATTTTAAGAAGTCAAATCAGACGTATAAAAAATCTATAATAAATAACAAATCAACCTTAAATTTTAATTATATAAAATAGATTTATCATATATATTCAAATTCTGGTTTAATCTTCTGTATTCCCATCCCTAACCAAAAATCTCTTGAGCTATGTCCTAACAACAAAAGTGCTGACCACTCTCTACATAAAGTCACGGTCCACGGATGCAAACGTGTAACCCCCTTCCCCTTGACCTGTGGAGTACTTCGGAGATAAAAGAGAAGCTTGAGTCGTAACACGTTTCCGTGGGCCTCTACTTTTCCAAAAGAGACAATTATAGTATCTTCTGCCATCAATACTTCCATATTACTCATGAACAACTTCAGCTTATTAATAATAATAATTAAATTATTTCTTTGAGAAAATTTTTAATAAATAGATTAATCTCCACCAAACATGCCACAAGACCGCTTATTCTGCTTGGTTAAAATATCTGTTGCAGTAAACGGATGAACGAAAAAATCACAAACCAAAACACATGGAAGCAAAAATTAAACCCACATCGCATAAGATAAAAGTGGAAAATATCTATATATACAGAAGCAAACACATAATACATTGCGGGAAAAGACATCCATTTACATTTGCAAGGAGTGTCCATCGTGAAACAAGGGACAACCCAAGACATGGGAACGTAAAATTAGCTATATAGAGAAAAGATGAACAGTCTTAAAACAAGCACTCATGAAGATAGCACAGACGTATATAACCTAACAGCACCAACATATCATTGATATTTTCCTATCCGAGTTCCAAAATTAGTCATATATAACACTTGCCAGACAACGACAAGCCCCACTGATTGGCATCAAGTTCACGCCCAGAAATAGAATAACCTCTTCCTCTCCTTTTTGGCTGGAAGTCAGAGTGGGTAATCACAACTTTGGTGGTTCCCATAAACATGGCCAGGGCTCCCTTTCTCCTAAAAAGCTTTCACCTATCCGCAGCACCCAATTTCCTCATTATGTGCTCCGGAAAAACATCATAATACAGCTATATGCTGATTACGCCAATCTCACGACAGCAGACAAGTACCTAATCACGGGAGCAAAGTCCTACAGTAAAGAACCCAAAAAGCAAAAAAGTTAAGTAGCATACCTATTTCCTACACAATCTTCTAACGTCCACTTGTGTATAGCAAAAGTTAAGCCTATCAACAGTCAGAGCTGACAAAATATTTTATCTCATCCATAACAGGAGAGAAGTGCTCATTATTTGGCAGCAAGTAAAACCCGATGGTCGCTTGCTCCAGGAACAGCAACTTCACTTCTTGGCCAGCCTTCTCAAGCCCTTTTGCATAACCCAACTGCCAGTCCTGAACAAGGTCCAGACCAGCAACCACCACAAGGCTCTTGGGAAAGCTAACCCCTTCAAGGCTTCGCCCCTTGGGCCCAAACGGGTTACATGCAGGATGGTCTCTATCTTCCCCTTCAGGAAGAAAAGCCCTCCAATACCAATCTCGATCCTTAACTCTAACAAAATACCTCCCATCTAAACGCTTCTCAGACTCGGTTCTTTCCTCCCCCCCAAAAAATGGGGTCAGCAGAATATTCCCAAACACCTCAATTCCCGACTCCACAGCTTTGAGGGCAACATGGTGCACAATGTTCCCACCCGAGCTATCCCCAGCCATGTAGATATGAACTTTCTGATCCTTCTTACTCTGAAGCCAAGACCTAGAACTAACCCATTTAAGAGCCGTCCACCCATCATCATATGCACACGGATACCGATTCTCAGGTGCACGCCTATAGTTCACTGACACCACAACAGCCTTACAGATACCCACCAGGCGACGACACAGAGTATCATATATAGCACTATTCGCTGAAGAATGCGCAAAACTTCCACCGTGGAAGAATATGATGACAGGAACAACCTCAGAGCTCACAGGCTTCTCAAGGTCAACGATGCTCACTGCACGCTCTTCTCCCTCAGCAGGACGATAGATTCGAGTCAAAAGATTTGTTTCACGGTCAACAATGACATCAAAGGAGAAAACTCCATCGACAGGGTTGGCATTTGCCGGAACCTTCCGATCAAGGAACTCTGCTAAGTCACGGTTAAAAGTCCCATCCGGGCGACGGAGAAGATTGTACGACAACTTGAAATTCGAGATCAGAACCCACATATTCAGTGGAACCACCACCTACACCAAATTTTATTTTATTTTATTTTATTTTTAAATAAATAAATAAAAATAGAGGATAATACGAAGGGGAAAAAAATCAAACCGACTATGATTCGAAACGGAGAATAATCCAAATAAACCCCATAATTTTGGGGAAACTGATTAATCAAACTGCCAAAATTAGCACATTAGGTGACAAACCCTAAACAGTGAAGCCGTGTTAGGTGGAACAAGAAATTGATCCAACCGAAAGAGGAAAGTATTACACCAACAGAACCAAGCTGAACCAACTCTTCCACAAAAGCAAAACATACTCAAAACGACGACTAAGAATCACCAATACAAGAATGATTATCCTTTTACTTCAGCGCTAAACCAAAAATAATATTAAAAAAAAAAAGCACACAAAAAAGGCATATAACACGGTACACACAAAAACAGAACAATAATTAAAGAGAATCAATCGCAACCGATAAAAAAATAAATAAACAAAAAAAGATTGCAATCAGCGAAATCGTACGGTTGAGTTGCAGAATCCTGAGTGGAATGAAGCAACACATTGAATCGAAGAGTAAGGTGCAGAAAGCGCTCGTACCTTAGAATCGTTAGGATTAAGTTGGTTACTCCCAGCCATTGGAAGGATCCTCAACTCCGATCACAGATCCAGGAGGCGTTTGGCTTAGAATGAGAAAGGGAAATCCATAAAGCGGGAAAATCGCGTTATGTGAGATGGAGAGCGTTTTGTAGTATTTATTTATGTTTGGGGGTTGGGGAGATGAGTTGAGTTGAGTTCAGTGGCAGGGGAAGAGAAGAGGGGGTGGGGGGGGGGAGAAAAAAGGA